ACACACACACACACACACACACACACAAACAAAAAGAAAAAAACAAGTGTCGCAATGTAAATTTATATGTTCTAGCGGTAGATTCATTCGATTTGCTCATCCTATCGATGGAAGTACTACGAGGCCAGTCATGAGGTTGGACAGTTACCTATTCTCTCTCTCTCTCTCTCTCTCTCTCTCTCTCTCTCTCTCTCTCTCTCTCTCTCTCTCTCTCTCTCTCTCTCTCTCTCTCTCTCTTTACCTCCCACCCACCCACACATCCTTTAGGATGCCTCAATGCCATCACAACGAAAAATACAGAGCCTCTATCCCGTATTGACGACCTTCTAGATAGGGTGCAAGAATGTAGGTGCTTTACTAAGATAGATATGAATTTTGGCGACCATCAGATTGCAATCAGATATGAGGATCAGTACAAAACCGCTTTTCAGACCAGGTACGGTATGTACGAGTTTGTGGTGATGCCTTTTGGTTTGTGCAATGCGCTGGGTACATTCCAGCACGCCATGAATAGGCGGTTTTACGAGTACTTATTTAACTTTATTGTGGTGTACCACAACGACATCCTTTTCTTTAGTAAGACAGTTGAGGAGCACGCGCAGCACGTTGACCTTGTGCTTGCACGAGTTTAAGATTAACTTGGAGATATGCGAGTTCGGTCACACCAAAATCTTATACTCGAGTCATGAAATGTTTATGGATGGACTAAGGTCGGAAGAGGCAAAGGTAGCTAGCATTAGGGATTGGTCGAGACCTCAGCCTGCGACGGAGGTCAAGTCTTAACTCGTAGGGATGACGGGTTACTACTGCAACCTTGCAAAAAACTATAGTTCAGTTGCCTCCTATACGGACCTTACACGCCTTGACACCCCGCGGGAGTGGCCGAATGTTTGTGAGAGAGCCTTCAAGCGATTGAAGCATGCTCTCACACATCATGAGATCTTTATGCCTCCTAATCTTGACAAGCCGTCCATTGTGACCACCGACCCAAGCCAATACGACATTGGCGTGGTGCTTGCGCAACAGGAGGAAACAAACTTGATGTCGATTGAGTACATGAGGAAGAAGATGCCATCTCATAAGTTGGCCAAATCCACGTACAAGTGTGACCTCTACGCCCTCTACAAGGCCTTGGTCCAACACTATCTATTGGGAAGCTTCTTCTATGCGAGATCTGACCATCAGATCCTTTTTGATTCGCCTAAGCGATGAATTGAAATCATCGATTAATATGACTTTAGGCCACAACCAAAATCATTGTACTAGGTTCGCGCTTGTCTCCTTATAACCGAAGTGTCCGGTGGCATCATGAACTCTCCTAGAAATAAACTATGCAAAGACTCTCTAGACAACACACACAATAGTTTACTCCCCGCCTTCTCAAGAAAGAGCCCATCCACCACCACAAACTCCTCTGGTGTAGCCTTGTCTTTGGCCTCGAGCTTGCGGATGATGTCCATTATCACGAGGTCTTCCTTGTAGGCGTCCACCATAAATCGAATCAGATTGTCAGATAGACCAAACTCAGCAATCAGCGAGAGGCGGTTAACGGAGGCCCTTATTTTCAGACAACTTGTCATGCTATTTATAACAAAATCCAAGTGTCATTTTATCCAAACTTTCCACCAAGTCATAGGGTGGAGACCATACTCACTAACTGCAAAAACAAAAACCGAAAAAAGAATTTAAAAAATTATAAAACAGCAAGGCAAAAGTGCACTTTCATGCAAATTTCGCCAACATCCAGTTTCAAAAATCTTGAGAAATTTCAGAAATCTTAGTAGGGTTTGGGGGTCAATTTTTATGTTTTTTTTTCCTTTTTCTTTTTGCCTGTTTTTGTTTAGGTTCAAGGTTGTTGTACCAAATTTGGTCTCATTTGGAGCATTGTGTGAGGATTGAGCCCTCAAGAAGGGGCCTTGCCATGATGAACATGTTTTGGGCTAAGGCCGCAGCAAGCCTAGTGCCCGCCCTAAGTCAAGGCGGGCCAGCAAATCAACAAGAGCCCTCTGTGCAAACATTTCACGAAGTGGGGTCTATATAGTTGCAGCACGCCAGTTGGTTGGAGTGCACCGAGTCTCGGATCTCTGCAAATGTGGAAATCCCAGGGCCTCTGAGTTAGTTAGGCCCTGGGCAC